TAGAGCAGCAACGTCTATACCTAGGTCAGGCGGCATACACCGGTAACAGTCACCCTCAGCACTAGCAGACAAATCATACATAGCATCAAAGTCTAGGTCAAAAATAGCAAACCTAGACTTAAGCAGATCTGCCCAGCGAGGGACCATATCAAAGTCTAGGTCAAAGATCGCAACACCAGACCTAAGCAGCTCTGCCCAATGGGGGCGCTCGACCTCGTCACCAAACTCAGCTCGCCAAGCGTCTTCGATACGGGAGAAGCAGCGGTGTTGCGTGTGCGCCTTCCCGCATGTCTGACCAGCACGGTCACCCGTGCGAATGGCATACGGGCAGCTCACACTACCCCCAGACGCCCCACGCTGAAACAACCACTCACGAAGCTGCTGGGGCGAAGGGCTCTCGCTCCGACGCTGCTGCCGCTGCCGCTGGCCTCCTCCAGAACCTCCACGCTGAGCTCCAGTCCTACCGCCACCACTGCCACCGCTGCCACTACTGCCACTCCCACCGCTGCCTCCACCGCCGTCACCAACGCCCCCACTCCCTCCACCACTCCCACTGCTGCCACCACCTCCACTGCTGCCACCACCTCCACTGCTGCCCCCACCACCACCCCCGCTGCCCCCTCCACCACCCCTGCCACCCTTGCCCTTGCTGCTGCTGCGCTTCGCACTAGCAGAAGCAGCCCCGACATCCTCAGTACTAAGAACGTCCACAGCAGCAGCAGAGGCGTAGGAGGGGGCAAAGGGGGAGGGGGAGCACCCCTCAAAGAAGGGCGTGCGCGGAGTGCCATGAGCAGCACCTACAGCTACTGCACTAGTCTCAGTTGTGAGGAGGTGCTGCTCGAGGAGGTCAACAGTGAGGGAGGTGGGGTCAAGGGAGAGGAAGTGGTCCCTCACAGAGCGCAGAGGTGGGGTCAAGGGTGCTGTGGGAGTGGAGCTAGGGTTTGAGCATTTGGTGTGTGAGAGGGGCGTGGGGCAGCTGGGGGAGGTTGTGTGTGTCGAACAAGAATGAATGAACTAACAGTGCAATGAGTACAAGTAGGAAACCCTAGAATTGTGTACCCCCTATAGGCTAACCCACTGTAGCCTAAACAACTACAACATATATATAATGTTTGACACACCCCCATAGGCGAAGTGGGGGAGAACTAGGGGTCACAAGACCAGTCAAGTAAAGGAAAGCAAAGCAATCTAGGGTGGATCACAAAGTCACCACACATTCTGAGCACAAGTTCAAGGCCACAAGGCCAGTTCACATGCAGGAGTACACATATATATAAGGCTAGACAAGCAAGAGCAGCAATATATATATATGTAACAGTACAAAGAGGGTCAAGAGGAAAGCAAGTGAGGCAAGACAGGCACAAGACCCAGCTGGGTACAGAAGCGCTGATGATCACAAGGCGCAAGTGCCTTGGTGAAGACATCAGCAGTGTTGGCCTCAGAGGCCACGTACGCAAGGCGCAACTGACCACGCTGCTGTAGCTCACGAGCAAGGAAGTAGCGGAGAGCAATGTGCTTTGTTCTGTGCTCCAGTCGCTGCTTCCGACACAAGACCAGCATGGCCTTGTTGTCTACGTACAGGACTGGAGGAGAACGAGGCGGCTCTCCAAGGTCGGTCAGCAGGTAGGTGAGCCAGCGAAGCTCCTGAGCAGCCATGGCCCCTGCGTAGATCTCAGCCTCACAACTGGAGCCAAGAACAGAAGACGAGCGAGTAGCCCGCCACGAAACAGAGCCGAAACCAAGGCTGAAGGTGTAACCCTGTGACGACCGCTGCGTAGCCTGGTCGTCAGCCCAAGAAGCGTCTGCGTGCCCAGTGAGGACCACTGGACTCCGCCCTCCAAGCACTAGCCCCATGCCCGACGTACTGCACAAGTAGCGCAACACCCTCTCGAAACACTGTCCCTAGAGTCGTTCTGCAGGTACATCTGCAAGTCGTCGAGCCACGTGTCAAAATGCAGGGGGCGTCCCTCGTGATCAAACGCAAGCACGCGGAGAGAAGCCATAGTGGCGCAGCACGCAGGGCGGGCAGAGGCCTAGCAGCGCAGGGAACAGGGCAGGCAGCAGGCTGCAAAAGTGGCGGCTCGAGGGCCTAGGGGCGACTACGGGGCGACGTGTCAGGGCTAGGGGCTACGGGCCTGGGGGCCAGGAGCAACAGGCCGCGGGGCCAAGGGGCGACGGGCCGGAGGCCTATGGGCGACAGGCCGTGGGGCCGAGAGTGAGGGGGGGGGGGCGTGGGGCCAGGGGCGACGGGCCTAGGTGTCGGGCCGGGGTGAGCGGGCGAGGGGCTACGGGCCGGGGAGCGCTGGCTAGGGGCGACAGGCCTGGTGGCAATGGGCCGCGGGGCCTAGGGGCAACGGGCCGGAGGCCTAGGGGCGACGGGCCGTGAGGCCTAGGGGCAACGGGCCTGGGGGCCTAAGGGCGTCTGGCCGCGGGGCCAAGAGAGAGGGGCCGGTGCGCGCGGGCGAGGGGCGACGGGCCGGGGCGCGCAATGGCTAGGGGCGACGGGCCGGGCCGCGGGGCCAGGAGAGATGGGCTGGGCGCTTAGGCTAGGGGCGATGGGCCGTGCACGCGTAGGCTAGGGGCGAAGGGCCGGGCGCTCGTAGCGAGGGGTGACGGGCCGGGCGCGAGTAGGCTAGGGGCGACGGGCCGGGCGCGTAGGCTAGAGGCGACGGGCCAGGCGAGCGATGGCTAGGGGCGACGGGCCGGGCCGCGGGGCCAGGAGAGATGGGCCGGGCGCGCGTAGGCTAGGGGCGACGGGCCGGGCGCGCGTAGGCTAGGGGCAACGGGTCGGGCGCGCGTAGGCTAGGGGCAACGGGCCGGGCGCGTAGGCTAGGGGCGACGGGCCGGGCTAGAGGCGACGGGCCGGGCTAGGGGCGCGCTGGCTATGGCCTACGGGCCGGGCTAGGGGCAACGGGCCTAGGGGCGACGGGCCAAGGGGCGACACGAGGGTTGCTAAGGGCAGTGCAGTGGTGGGCCCAAGGAAAAAAAAAACCGGTCCTAGCGGAGGACCTGCTCTGAAACCATGTCAAGAGAATGAACGAGAATGAATGAACTAGCAAAGAGTTGGGTACAAGTACTAACCCTAATTGGGTTGTACCCCTTATGGGCTACCCCACTATAGCCTACACAATATAAGCTATATAAGGGTGCGTCAGATCCGTTGGCCGGATTAATCCGGCCGGCCGGATCTAGCGAAGGTTACACATTCACGACATTCGTAAGGTATTTCGTTAATTTCGCACAATCCGGCCACTTGCTAAAATTTTGATGGCCGGTTTGATGGCCGGTTTAGCATTCGACAACTTTTCCGACGTGCAAACGAATCGATAGTCGACCACTTTGTCGACTCATCAGCGCTACAGTACCTATGCGACTTGGCCAACATACCCAAGCGACTCAACGTGTCACAAGGACGACTCGCACGGCGCTTTCAGCGCCGCTGAACATGACCGGAACACTTGGTAATCTCTCTCGTCAGCAAAGTCAAGGAGCAAGGGCACCATGACACCGACTGCAGCAACCAAGGGGTGAGCACAACGTGCGTGAGTCCGATTGCTAAACGTCGTGCCCATCTGGGTGTGAAAGGATCCGCCATGTTGGATAATGGCTAGAGTGTAGGGACGTTCCGGTTTTTGTATGCTCTCGTCACACTCAGTTCGGGTAGACGACACGATCTCGCCGAGCCGGTTTGTAAATGGGGCCACAGCTCACATCTTGACTCCCTGATCGTAGTGTGCACAATAGCGGTTGTGTCACTTCAGTAACAATACGTGCGACTCCGTCGCACAATCCGGCCAACTGTGCAATCCTGTAAATCTGACACTTCTGCAAACTGGCCTGTAAATCGGCCACCAAATCTGTCAGATTTCAACACCTTGTAAATGTGGCTGGATGGTGGTCGGTTTAGCATTCGACCATTCTGTCGACTTTGGCGAAAAAAGGAGTCGACCAAAAGGGCGACAAATTTGCAGCCAAATCACGTTGTAGCGGATCTGACGCACCCTAACATTTTGACACCACGGGATCCCTCTTGGGCCATCCGACCACGATCTCGCGACAAAGGTCTCGAGTGACTCAACTCGCCCAGTCGCCCGCCGTTCCCAATCTCTCGCTTCCTTCACACCCGTCCCGCCGAACTCAACGCTGCTCCTTTTCTCCTTTGTAAAATACTTTTTGGGTCACACCGCTCTATACGTGGCTCCTCGCGTTCCGCTTCGTCCTGCTCTTCTTGCCGCAATCTATAGATTCTAGCAAAATGGTTGCGAGCTTGTTCGTCGAGGCGGACGGCGCGCAGCTGGAGGTGCTGCGACAGGTGACGTTCTGGGAGCGCATCTCGCGATAACTTTCACAAAAGAGCTGGTCGGGATACTCAGTAATGCGCCGTGTGGGTTTCACGCCATAGTGATGTAGTGGAGCGTGTTTTGCGCTAGCAAGCGTGGCTTAGAAGCTCCGCGAAGCAATGGCGGAAGTGGAGGCGGGGAACGGGATGCGGTGGAAGGGGAGATCGAGTGCGGTGAAGCGGGACCGCGGCTCGGCGGTCGGCGATTGGGATCCGGAAGATACGGAGGCAGCTGACGTCGACAGGTAGAACCAGCGGGGGGATGAATAAGGGATGAACTCGGGCGGAAAGCGAAGAGGAATGAGGGGAGTAGGTTGTATAGTCGGAGGGAGAGGAAAGGGGGAAAGGGAGGAGGAGTGGGGCATGGAGCAGGTTGTATAGTCGGAGGGGAGAGGACAGGGGGGAAGAGAGGAGGTTGCAAGGAGGGAAGGGAAAACAGAAAGTGCCACAGCATCTAAGTGAGATGCTGTTTAAATGCTCTTGGTAAAACTTCTCCCTCCCCACTTGTTGAATTCGGTTATTCCTTTCCTTACTACTTACCTTTGTGTTGTTTGCTTTCCCCTTGCCTTGCTTTGCCTGATATGGTATGGCGCGGGGGCTGACGTGGCATGACGTGGCTTTTTGCTTTTCAGTGTGGAACTGGGCGTCGTCGATGGAGGCGATGCTGTGGCAGGGTCTGCCACATGGCGGCGTGCAAGTGGTCTACGACATCCGCTACGGCCTGCGTGCGCGCAACACGTACATGACGGGGGAGGGGATGACGTGGGATGTGACGGGATGACGAGGCATGGGACGGGATGGCCTGGGATGTGTGAGTGAGCTGAAGTGGAGGGATGGGGATGGGGATGGGGATGGGGATGGGGATGGGGATGGGGATGGGGATGGGGATGGGGATGGTGATGGTGATGGTGATGAGGTGGGGGATATCTTGGTGAAAATGTGATGGCATGGTATGGCATGGGCAGTGCACAAAGGTCTGATTTGGATTCCCCATTCACAGGTTTTCCCAATTTCTTGATTTCTGTTGTGTGAGACGTCATTCAAGACAGTGACACCCTTATGAATTGTGCCCCTCCCTTGCGGACCGCAGTCTTGACATCTACATGCCACCAGATCTGACTCTTGACAGCACTGCAGGAGAAAGTAGCAGCAGTAGCAGCAGTAGTGGCACTGGTGCTATTGTTGCTGGTAGCAGCGCTACTAACAGCAGCAGCAGCTGTAATGAAGGAAGCAAGGGGCGGCCGGTGTTGTTTTTTGTGCACGGAGGAGTATGGGCGAATGGTGAGAAGTGGATGTATTCTCCCCTTGCGATCCGATTCGCTCAGTTCGGAGCGGTGGTGGTTACCATTCAATACACTCTCTACCCCGAGGTAATTCAAATGTCACCCTCGGTTCCCTCCTACTCCCACCCCACCTCCCACCCCCATACCCCTCTCGTCCTCTCTATTCTGTTCATGCGAGGCTCCCCCTCTCGCATCTTCCTTCTCTCAGGCTTCTCCCTTCGTTTCCCTCTCACCCCCCACGTAGGCTCTTGCGACAGAGCAAATAGAGGAAACGTCAGGGGCGCTCTCTGGGCCATGGACCACATTCAAGATTATGGGGCCGACCCCTCTCTTCATCATCTCTTCCCTCCAGGCCCTTGCCATAGACCAACCAAGTACAGGAAACGTCAGCAGCGCTCTCATGGGCCACATTCTCCAGTATGGGGGTGGCCCTTCTTGCATCTTCCCCTCATTTGTTCCCCCTCCTCTTCTTCTCCGCTGTTCACCCTGCTTCTGACCAACAGGCTCTTGCCATAGACCAAGTACATGAAACATCAGCAGCGCTCTCATGGGCAATGGACCACATTCACGAGTATGGGGGCGACCCCTCGCGCATCTTCCTCACGGGCCACTCCTCAGGCGCCCACGTCTGCTCCATGGTTGTCTGGCGCCGCTTCAGGTCAGCCCTCCGCCGCATGTTCCAGGCGCATGGCAAGGATGTAGCAGCAGCACCAACGGCTGTAGCAGAGGCTGACAGCTGCAGTGTCAACAGCAGCGCCAGCAGGGAGGGAGAATCGCCACAGCCCGCCGTCAAAAGAGAGGATTTATGGTTCCTAGATGAGCCAGATCTGCGGCAGCCCTACTGTTTCCTGGGCATGAGCAACGCGTACGATATAGCCCACCACCAGCGGGGGAGGAGTCTTTGCTCTCTCTGCAATGTCCCCTGCTATTGGTGGGCCGGCACGGTTTGTCTCATCCTCTCCTGCCCCGCTGTTTGACACTCTCATGTCCGCTGCTGCTGATGCTGCCGCTGCTGCTGCAGGGGCTGTTGCTGCTGGTGTAGTTGCGGGACGTGATGGCGATGCTGTTGTTGGTGGTGCTTCTGCTGCTGCATCGTTCGGGGCGTCGTTTGACTGTCCAAAGAGTCCTCTCCTGGTTGCCACTGCTATACCTACTACTGCTACTACCTCTGCACCTTCCGCCCCTTCTCCCCCTTCCACCTCTGCTATTGCTAGAAGCCGGGCGCTCGGGCAGGTAGCAGCAGTCAGCGCTGATGCTGCTGCCTCCCTCAGGCCCATCCTGCCGCCCTCAAATCTGCGTCACCCCACTCATTTGCCACGTCAGCTGGTCCCAACGCCACGTCAGAGTGTTCAGACGCCACGTCAGCAGGTGGTCCTCGTCCAGTGACCCTCTCGTCGAACGTTGAAAGTGCAATCTCCCACAGTCCATCACCCAGTGCAAAACAACCGTCATTTTCATCCTTGTCAGCAGGAGCAGCAGCAACAAGAGCAGCAGCAGTAACAAGTATAAGGGACGAACCTGTAGACAAGCAGTCAGTAGGCTCTGCTTTTGTGGTGGCCAGAAGCACAGTGTCCAACCGGAAGTCGGAAGCAAGCTATGCTGCAGGTGTTCTCACTGGGTCAAGCGACAGCAGGAGTGCCACCTCAGGAGGGGGAAGTGCAACCTCAGGAGGGGGAAGTGCAACCTCAGGAGGGGGAAGTGCAACCTCAGGAGGGGGAAGTGCCACCTCAGGAGGGGGAAGTGCCACCTCAGGAGGGGGAAGTGCCACCTCAGGAGGGGGAAGTGCAACCTCAGGAGGGGGAAGTGCCACCGCAGGAGGGGGAAGTGCAACCTCAGGAGGGGGAAGTGCAACCTCAGTGGCAGACGCAGTCAACAGAGCGACATCAAAACAAGCAGTGAAGCAGGCCCTTCGATCCCACCTCCTCAACTCGTCACCTTTCAAGCAACAGGAAGGTGCCAAACCAGCTGATGCCACACAAATTGATGTCACACCAGCTGCGACCATGCTACCTCCAGCACCATCCCTGCCTGCATCTTCACCACTGCAACCAGCCCAAGTTATCACCGTCGCTCCTCCCTTCACTGTCTCTACCTCCTCCTCCTCCTCCTCCACAGCTGCAGCAGCAGCGGTGACAGAAGCTCCCACAGGAGCACTGTTTCCCCCTGCAGGAAACGCCTTATCTCCTCCTTCCGATCAAGAAGCATCCTCCTCTGAAGAGGCGGACCCCCTCTCCTCTGACTGCTTCTCCTCCAGGTTTCTTGCCCCCTCTTCTCCCTCTCCTCTCGACATTCTCAGGCAGGAGCTGGGAGGGAGTGTTGCTGAAGCTGTTGTGGCTGCTCTTTGTCTGGCCAACTCAGCCTGCTCCCCTCCGCCCCCTCCTCTTCCTCTCTTTCTCCTTCCTCCTCCTCTTTCCCCTCCTTGTCTTCATCCTCCCGTCCCTCCTCCACCTCCTCCTCCTCTGCTTCTCTAGTTCCCTCTTCTCCCTCCCTACCTTCCTCGGCCCCTCTCCTCCCCATCATTATCCTTCAGTGCAGTACTGCTGATTATGTAGTTCCCCCCGAAACATCTCTCTCCCTCATCCGCTCACTTCACCACCTCAACTCCTTCCTTCTCCCCTCACCTCCTCCACTCCTGGTCAAGCTGGGGGGAGAGGGGGGCAGATTGGTGGATGAAGAAATGGGGGGTAAAAGAACAGGGGAGGGAGCAGGAGGAGTGGGAGTGGGGATTCGAGCAAAGGCTATGGTTTATGACGACGCTGGTCATCCAGATTTTGCGTGCTGGGCTGTGAGAAGTGAGAGGAGAGGGATGAGGGATGGGGAGGGGAGTGGGGGAGAGGGGAGAGGTAATGGTGGAGTGAGGGGTGGTGTGAGTGGGGGAAGGAGGGAAGGAAGAGGAAGGGGAGTGGGAGGGAGGGATGTTGATGAGAAGCAAGAGCATGAGGAAACTAAGTCAACTGAGTCAACATAGTCAAGGAGGGAAGGAGGGAGATGGTAGGGTGGAGACCATGGATGGGGAGGAGAGGGAAGTGACGGGGCAGGTGCTATCCATTGGAGGTGCTTCGGATGATATGGCTTGTATGAGAGATAGCATTGAGGGTGCATTCCTATGTCGACATTTGTGTCTCAATCGCTTTGTGACACCTAAAAACAGCATAAATCGTATTGTGTCCCAAATGCGAGTCGCGTTTCAGCAACCAATCCTGTACCGTATTTCTAATTGGTCAGCGTGAAACACGCTGACGTCGCTGACAAATTGCATCTGGACCCGTCACTTCGAAAAAATCGCACGCGACTCGAAATGCCCGACACGACCACATGTACTTGGACACCCCACAGTGCCAATTTCGCGAGGGAAAAAATCATGCGCATCTAGATCACACTCCCATTCGCCTGGTCACCCTTGTCACCCAATCAAATTCGCACAAATGTACATTTCGCATTGCCGCATAGTGTCTCGATACACTCAGTTTTTGTGACGCGAGGTTGAAAAAATGTGTAGACGTGACTCTTGTGTCGACAGAGGAATGTACCCTGATATCATCACTGGGCGAGTGCCATTGGAAGATTTGGTGTGGAAATAGTGTTGGGAGAAAATCCTTAAGAGACCTCAAGTCAAAGCACTCTGGATTGGTTTCTTCATACAAATTTTCGTGTTGTTGTGGAGACACTAAAATCTGAGGTTCTTAACTTGAATGATTTAGTTTGAACCCTTATGGGTTGTCTTTGTTGATCTTATGGGGCCTGGGTTATTCACAATATGTTCCAATAAGTGGAAACCAAAGTTATATTACAGCTTGTATTCTACTGTATTGCTGCATATGGGTGTGGGCCATATTCATCCTCCAACACCCCCAAAACTAGCACCTCCAGTGCCAGTAGCCTCAGCTCCTGCACCCCTAGAACTTGTACCTTAAGTGCCCGTGCCTCCAACACCAACACCCCCAAAGTCCACTGCACCATGTCACGGTAGTGGTGAAGGCTCTTGTGGTGACTGTGAGGACAATTGTGGGGAAGTGGATGGTACCTGACATTCTATCAAGGGGAGAGGGTTAGCGTGGGACACACCAGGCGAGGCAGGATCAAGAGTGGGGGGGGGGGGGGGGGGGGGGGGCGGGTGTACCGGAGGAACGGGAGCAGGAGGAGTGGGGGCAAGGAAAAGGGGAGAGGGGGGGAACAAGGAGACTTTGGCAGGGGTACCGGGCGTATTAGGACATAGACTCATCAAACTGGACGTCGCAAGAGTCGAGGAACTGGTGGAGGGGCGAGTGGTAAAATGTGTAGTCAGAGGAGCCCACCGAAAAATCAAGGAGGACACTGAGGAGGGCGCAAGCCAAGAGCTTGTCTACAGAGGTGTCGCGGACAAGTGCAAGGCAGCCCCAGGCACGAAACTGCGACGCAACACCAGAGGACCCGGTCCAACTGGTCGGTGAAGCTCCTGGCCGCGGGACATAACGCTATAATTTCGGCTGGTGGGCGGCGTAGCGAACCGTGTAGGGCCACAGAAAATGGGAAGCATGGGCATGGATCATGGAGGTACGGGCGATCTCTATGACCAAGCCTATGCGGCGCACAACAGCCCCATTCTGCTGTGGGGACTCTGGAAGCGTCCAGGTCTGGGTGATGCCTTGCTCGCTATATAATTTGGCAAGAATGCCAGAGCGAAACTTTCCCCCACGGCCGGAGTAAGGACAAGTGACACGACGGATATGGGTGGTCTCAGTGGCTAGCAACCACCTGATCAGGCTAAAATTCACGTCAGACTTTTTCGCCAGGGGGAACACAGTGGTGTAGCGGGAGTAGTATTCAATTACCACAAGAAAGAAGCTCTCCCCCTCATGCCAAAGGCGAGGGGTGGGGCCCCGGACGTCCAAGTGGAGAGTTTAGAAGGGTGCGGTGGCCGGACGAAAGGAAGAGGAGTGAGGGGTGGTGCGCAGCCTACCCTCTACGCAAGGAGTGCACAACGGCACGGGCGAAAGAGGGAGCGACGCAAAGACGCGCGGTAGACTTGAGACAAGACGCTTGCTATACATTCTACGGAGGCATAGGAGGGTGGTATAACTGATGACTCTAGTCATGTCGGATCTGTTGATTTGCGAGTGCCTACCTTAAGACCTCGGCCGGCTGCTAGTGATCGGGCCTTGTGCTTCTAGTGTACGTGTATGTGTAGTTACTAGCCCAGGTGTACCTGCGGCTAACGTATCGCTCTCCTTCATACTGGACTCTAGCGTGCCTCAGTGCTTGTTCGGTGACCACACCACTATCATCCCTTATTTTGCTCTAGTCCCAGTTGCCCTGGCTGATCCTACTTTTCGACCAGAAGTCGAAAAGAAATAAACATATGATACATATAGTAACCACGACGAGCTAGAATAGGCCAATGAGGAAGAGACGTGTCGGGCCCAAAACGCTCACGGTAGAGGTCATCGATGCGGGGGTAGCAGCGAGACGAGGAGAGGTCAGGGCGCAAGCAGGTAGTGCAAGCACCAGGGCCAGTCGGGAATCGGTACTAGCAGGGGCCGATATCGTGACCACCTCTGCGAGTCGCCCAGCTGGATTTACCATAGCTGGAACCATAAGGTCCCCACTGTTGAGAGTGCTGCTAGTGCCGCTACGTCTGGCCCTAGTACTACAGAACTCTAGTGGATGCTATGGCACAAGCCAGAGGGGCGTGAAGGCTAGGCTAGAATCCGGTGAAGACGGTGGCGAATGAAGCTAGAATACGAAGCCTACGAACACGAGGAACAACTAGGCTAGAAGCTCAAAACTCTCCCAGAGAAATTACTACGGCTGCAAGCTGCCTTGAGAAACGTCGATGATAGGAGGCGAGTGGGAGAGACAGCAGATACGTGTGCAACTGCAGCTACCGGGTGCGGTCGAGTGCGGTTGAGTGCGGCCTAGCGCAGTGGAGAGCGATCTAGAGCGGTCAGTAGCGGTTAGGAATGGTATAGTGATGGAGCATGTGCAGGAGCATGGGCAGTACTGCATAGCGAAGGCACATGAAGTTGTTGCTGTTGCGCGAGGCTCTTGGTGTGTAGGCAGCTGTGGGTGCGCGTACAGCTGCTCTGCTTGCGTCTGCTCTGCTCGTGCATGGCGGCGTGCATAGCGCTGCGCGCACAGGCAGCAGGGCAGGCACAACACGTGACGGGGCGGGGCGCGGGTAGGGGCTGTAGTGGCGCTGGTGCTGCTGGCTTACTCACGCCACCCCTTCACCTTCTCCCCCCATCCCCGCCACCTCCCCCTCATAGCAGCAGCCGCGGGAGAGGCGTGGCAGGGCGCGGGTGATGTTTCTGAAAGATTACGACGGCCCAAACCCCAAGCACCTCCCACGCGGGTCTGCTGGCGTGCTGGCAGGTCCGCATGCACGTGGTCAGGCCGCTAGGCGACGGGTAGATCGACGAGAGGGTGAAGGGGCTGGCACTCTTGCTGGTTGCGCTGGCGTGCGCGCTGTAGTGGTGGTCACTAACACTGGCGCTTGCGCTGGTCGCTATTACACTCATCACAGTCAAAATGTTATAATGCTTATATTGTGTAGGCTATAGTGGGGTAGCCCATAAGGGGTACAACCCAATTAGGGGTAGCACTTGTACTCAATTCTATCTCAATTCAATCATTCTCGTTCAGCTTCTTGACACAGTATCAGAGTGAAGGCCTCGGGTTCGAATCCCAGTGTGTGCACTTTGGGCATCCCAGTGCGGGGAGGTGTCAGAGGTCTACTGGTGATCCCCGATTGATCCTAGGGAAGGGTTACAGGCTCGTTGTCCAAAGGGGTTATGGGCGCACTGACCCGCTACTGAACAAGCCCTTTTATCCCAATGGTCTATTCGCACCAGACTCTCTTTTGGAACCATCGCCTTGGTCACCCCTCCCTGCCACGTTTTCGTGGCATGCACTCCCGCCTC